CTTGCTGCTGCTGCTGCTGCTGCGCAGCAGCAGCAGTAGCACGGCAGCAGCAGCAGCAGCAAGGACGGGCGAGGCGGCTGCACTTGCGCTGCAGCAAGAAACGAAGAGGCCTGGCATAAGACCAAGGGTTTAGGGTTTAGGGTTTAGGGTTTAGGGTTTACGTGGGCAGTGGCGACATCTTGAACAATGAGGGCGTTGGCCCAGCGGCCCATTGCAGCAGCAACAGCAGCAGCAAATCTTTTGTTGGCTGGCAAGCAGCAGCTGGCCACAAACCCTAAAACAGCGTTTCCCAGCCCCGCTTTTGTCTTCAAGTCCGACAAAACTTGCTGCTGCTGCTGCTGCTGCTGCGCGTCATGGTGCAGGCAGCGAACAGCAGCAAGTTGCTGCTGCAGCTCCTCGTGCAGCTGCTCCAGCTCCCGCCGCCGCGAAGAGTTCGCCTGACCCCAAACCCTAAACCCTAAACCCTAAACCCTAAACCCTAAACCCTGAACTCTACGCCCTAAACGTCAAACCCTAAACCCTAAACTCTAAACCCTAGGCTCTAGGGCGCAAACGCCTCGACAGCTAGAACGAGGGGTTATTAGGGTTAAGGGTGTAGGGAATATTAGGGTTTAGGGTTTAGGGAACATTAGGGTTTGCGATTTTAATTGCTGCAAACTCACTTGTGTCTGTTCTGTGGCCTCGCTAATAGACTCCTTCACTTTTGCTGCTTCCCGCAGCAGCTGCTGCAGCGTTTCTGCTGCTGCTGTTTGTTTCTGCCTTGCTTCGTCCTGCATGCAGCGCCTTCGCCAAACCCTAAACCCTAAACCCTAAACCCTAAACCCTAAATCCTAGCGCGAGGGTTTGCTGCTCACCTCCAGCTCGCGCAGGCAGGAAATTCGTCGCTCTAGCTCCAAGCATTCTCTCTCCACCTGCAGCAGCACCAGAAACAGCAGCAGCAACAGCAGCAACAGCAGCAGCAGCAACAGCAGCAAGCATAGCAGCTAGGAACTCGAAGGCATTTAACCCTGATGGACAGCAGCAACTCGTGCTTAAATGCTGCAGTGCCTGCTGAAACGCACTTGCTGCTGCTGCTGCTGCAGCTGCTAGTTTTGCTGCTGTTGCTGCTGCTCCTGCTGCTACTGCTGCTGCTGCTGCTGCTGCGAGCTACTTTACGCACAATGTTAAGAGCACTTGTGGCCTGCTGCAGCTGCCGCTGCTTCTTGGCCATTTGCTGCTTCAGCTCTGTGTGTCTGCTGTCCGCTTGCTGCTGCAGCAGCAGCAGCTGCTGCTGCTGCTCCACCGACAGCCTTTGCTGCAGCAGCTGCTGCTTCTCCTCAGCAGCACTTTTAAGGCGCTGCTCCTCGTCTGCCAGCCGAATTACTTCATTAGAAAGCTGCAGCAGCACGCCACACACAAACCCCAAAACAGGGTTTAGGGTTTGGTTCGCTTGCCAGGGTTTAGGGTTTAAGGCAAGAAGCATTCAAAGCTCAGTCTCTAGGGCTCAGGGTTTAGGGTTTGTGTGAAGAATTTAGGGTTTGGGGTTTAGGGTTTAGGTTGTTCAGCGTTTCCGGAGAGGGTCGGAGCTGAGGGTTTAGGGTCTAGGGTTTGGGAGTTGCCCACCTCTGTTTCTAGGGCCTTTAGCTTGCTGCAGTCCTCCTCCTTCTGCTGCAGCTTCTGCTGCTGCTGCTGCTGCTGCTGCTCTGCAAACCGCAGCTTCTCCAAACACCCCGACAGCTCTGTGCGCTGTGCAACCAGCAGCAGCAGCAGCAGCAGCAGCAGCAGCAAA